GTCTCGGGAAAGAAATGTATGCTAATTTTATGCGTCTATCTTTGGTTATTACCACTGTAGCAACATAAAACACTGGATTCTTCAACAATTAGTCTTAAAACGCTGCATGTTAATTAACCAAGGGAGGCTCCCGTGCATAATAAAATGGAGCTAATTGAAAAGCCTAAAATTTGGGACGATTTTGGAAGTGTGAGGTTCTGAATAAGACAGTTTGTTGACATCAGAATTCTGAATTTGGCTGCGATTATACCTGCGAGTGGGAATCTCCAGAGATTTATTTTCTGCCTTGTTTTTGGCCATCAGTGTAACGTTTCTTGTCATCACTGAATACCAAGCTTTTTATTGTTTGTTGTTTTGCTTGGTATAAAACCCCAAATAAAACACATTAAAAATCCAATAATTTGAAAATAGACTGTAAGTCATAATGATCAACCTTATAGACAAAACAGGATTGACATATGTAATTTTGCAGGTACTTAGTCTATGTCACATATATTAATTCCACATTTTTATGTTGAGTAAAAGAAATCAATTAACTTTTGAAGAATATTCTAGCTTCACGAGTTTCACCAGTTCAGCACTCAATCCTGGGGTGATAAAAGTTCAAATAGTTAAAAAAATATTTGAAGGATTTCTTTTTTACTTACTGTTATTGGATACTATGCAAGCTACTGTGACAACGCTTTTCCCTTGTGGATCAATAAAGACGGTCTGAGTCTAAGTCTAAGTTAGCCCCTTTTTTGCTTGGACAATGATTTAGATTTAATGGCCAAATTTTGTAGTTCATGAATGATACAGCAAAATATATTATTTCGCTCATTTAGTGGTTGTGTGAAGCCATCAATCTATATCGTTGGTATAAATCACTCTGAGGAAGGTTTTTCTTTTTTATATTTTGTTGTAGAATGAAAATGTTGTATGGTGTGGTAAACAGTGACCTATGTACTGCACAGGTGGACAAATGCAAGACAAAATAGTATTAATAACCTGGCCTTGTGGAGGTCTCAAGGACCATGAGACTTTCGTTGTTTAGGCTATTTGGTACCGAAGGTTTGGCCTTTTTTTTATGATGACAACGATTTCCATATATAATGTATCAGTGTCTTTTGTTCTGTCTGAAATTAACGACCATTTTGTGAATAAACCAGCCAGGAGGCTTTGTTGTACAAAGATCCCGTTTTGCCTGAGTCTGATTCCTATCAATACTAATGATTATCATTAGGTGTTTGCATAAAATGTCTTTGTGCAATATTAAGCCTGGATTTAGTGGAATGCAGGGAAGATTCAAGGACAAGGCTTCTGTGATAAAAGTATCATTTTCAGGAACAGCATGTCTCTTATCGGAACAAAGCCTGAGACACAAAACCAGACTAGGCCAGACCGGGACCAGGACTTCAGTCTGCCTCAGACCATATGACGTCATCGGACATTTTGATAAAACTGTTGGTAGGATATTTTGTTAGTAGTCTGAGCAGGGATAGATAGACAGAGAGCATCGCAGAGCGCCAGGATGTTCTCTGCACATTTTCAGGCCTGGAGGGACAGTTAGAATGGCTCAGCACAGGGTTAGTGATAGGGAATTAATAGCTCCAAGAGTTTTGTATCAACATTTAATTGTAAAGATAATTAAATGTTCTAGTTTTAACTCTTGTATGCTTGGTCTTATTTCGGTATTAAATTCTGAACACGTCCGTCATTTTTTTGGACAATAATTTGTAAAAGCTGATCTGATGTTGTAACCAAGGCCAAAAAATTGCATGTGAAAGCTTGCGATAGAACCAAGCTGTGTTGAGAGTGAGTGTCTTGTGACTTTCAGTCATAAGACGCCAATGAGGATAGTAACAGTAGTATGTAGTATGTAGTAGTAACTCATCTGTTTTCAGAAGAAAAAATAATCAGTACAGACAGCCTGTGTTTCTAGGAGATACAGGTAAAACACATTTGGGCGGGGCATACAATCAACACTGATCACTTGAATATTGGGTCTTACAAGTCCAATTGGTGAAGGCCAGAGTCCACATTTCCCAGTAATTCATTTCATCCCTTTATTACCCATTTCTGGGTCAGGAGGGTGGTACACAATTCTCAAAGCATCAGTTTCTCGCTAATCCTCCTGCAGGTGGTGGGTCCACAGGAAGAACATTTCCCAGTGCCATCTTGAAATGACAAATGAGTATTGAATTATTATTTTTTTCTAATATTTGAAAAGTAGTATCTTGACAACACTTTTTAGATTCCACGAGGGCCCATTTGCACGGCAGAATTTCCGCTGTTCCACAAAACGTCTCGACAAACCGAGTAAACAGTAGCAGTCTGTTGCTCTCCAAACGCATTGTGCTCGGGCCCAACTAATGAAAGCAGACGTCGATACCCCGGCTCCCCCCTCCCTCTGCGTCTGCACCTCTCCTTCCTCCAGACACCAGCCCTGTAGCCTCCCCCGCCCTCCTCATCAGTCACCCAGGGCAGCCCCTCCCCTCGCGGGACCCCCTGACGCCCGCTAATGGCTGTTTGATGACCCTCATAAAAGGAGTCAATGTATTGATGGGGGCCTTTGAGCGCGGGGCCTAATTTGTATGAGGATCAATTCAGCCGATTCATGAGAAGAAGAAGGGTGGGGAGGAGGGGAAACTGTGGAGGCGGGGCCTACGGGGTTTTCAAACAGCGGTGACGTTACACCTGTGACCTGCCGACATGTGCAATTTGTTTTAATGATAGTCGTGGTGTTGTTATTTAATAATTGAATAAGGGCCAGATCAGATTACCATGTAAACCACAGCAGACGGCTTTGCTGCTGTCTCTCACTGTGCTCTGGGTCATCAGTTTGAGTTAGTGGGAGAGTGACTCTGCTATAACAAAATCTGATTTAAAAGAAGGTAATGAAGTCATGGAACATATTGGGATCCATTATATAGACAATAGATAAACAACATTTTAACTTGTATGTACATGTTTATTGTGTGCACTTGTATATAGTAGAAATTTATGAAATCTTGTGTATCTCTTTACACACAAGATTTCATGCCTTGTTCTAATTCTACTTTTATGACTTACTTGTCCCGGGAGCCAAAGCAATTTGCCAATTTGTGGACTTCCAGCTACTCACAATGGCAATAAAAATAATTCTGATATGAAATTCCTAAATTTAGAGTATCGTTCAAAAGTTGTTTACTTCTGTATTTTAATGTGAAATGTGATATGAGTAAATTACAAACTTTTAACATGAAGAGTTGGATGTATTGAGACTCTGTTTTTAATAATGTTGATAATTGGCTCACAGCTTGAAAAAACCTCAAAGAAAACCAAAATAGGGATAATTTGAGAATGGACTGTAAGCCATAACAATAAAAAACAAGGGTTTGGCATATGTAATTTTCCGTTTAATGAGAATATATCTTACATTTCACATCGTACGTTGAAATGAAAAAAAGTTTCACATTCAGCTTTTTGGCATCAAGTATCAAAGTGTGTCATCCATAACTTAGATCTATACATAATCGTAGATACTAAATAATTAATTGCTTAGTTGCTTAGTTAATTAATTGGTTCTTAGATTGTGCCTTAATGAGCCAATGCTTCATATTTATTTGTACTTTATAATCTTTGCTCTTCCATAATGGTTACAGATGGGGTGTATAACAAAACGAGCTACGTAATGAACATTCTTGTAACTAGTTCCTCGCTCTCAAAATAGTTTGGTTCTATAACTAGTTCTCACATGCATGTGTTTTTCATATCTGTCACTTTTTCAGATAGAAAAGTGAAACAGAGAGGACCACCCTTCCTCAGCCAATCAGCTCTCAGCCCATGACATCAGACAGTGACTCACAGGGCTCTTTATTACAATTACGCAAAAAAATAACTTTGAATAACTTAAAAAAAACTCTTAATGTGTTCTAATATTATTATAATGTATTACTATTATTACTATTATTAACATAGTATAGAAGTAAAAGCATAAAAGCTTTTAAAACTTTCTTTCAAAGAACACAAAGATTAAAAATGTCCATGATTTGTAGAGTATCATATTACAACTGACTCATGATCCACTGTAGTGTAGGTCATATACACATATTCAAATACAACTGCTGCTATTTTGACTGAATGTCGGGCGAATGAAGACATAATTGATAGATTGATTATTTGTAAAGTGAATTGATTAATTGTTAGGATTCAGAAAGGCCAGTTAATATGGGATTTGTCATACTTTTGACCAAAACAAATCAAGTGTCTTAGACGTTGTTACACATTGTCTGTCATTATGAAATTATCTGAGTCATAACACCTCTTCTGAGCATGTTGAAGTCAGTGTAAAAAACTATGTGCTTTCAGTTGACAATTTAATGAAGGCCCAGATGATGGCCTAGTGCAAGTAACTTATAATGCGTTGGAATTACAAGTTAATTGTCATGTGATAATAAAGGATTTTAAAAACATGCTTTTTGGATGCCTCATGAGTCTTTCATTTGTTTGCATCTTCACACATATCCCTGCACTGAAGACGATGCAACCAAGGACACAAGCAAGCAGCGCTACTGCCTCCTCAATTTCTATTGGTCGACAACTATTTCAATAACCGAATACTTGGGATTGGAGCTGTAAAACGTTTATTTTGATAATCACTTGGTTGGGTGAATATTATTTTGATGAATCTGTTGTTCTCCAAAGGTCGGTGAATATGATTGTTTATGCATTTGACCAAAACATGACATGGAGAACATCTTCAGAGAAAGGACTTGTTAAACATCAAAAATACACTCTAAAGACATTTACATTTCCTATAGCAGTCATTATAGAATTATGTGAGTTTTAAAACCTCCCTTCTTAGGATGAAGTCCATGTAAGGCTAAAAAATGGTTACGAAATTCATTGACAACTATCCCAATAAACAATTAGTTGCGATAAATCCATAAACTTCTTACAGCCCTAACAAATTGATGAAATCCCTTTCCAGCAGTACAGTCCATTGGAAAACAGCAGCATGCAGAGGAGATGCAGGAGAGTCAAATGAGGCTGTGAACCTGACACACAGGTGCGACCTCAGCGGCGATCCTCCTGACAGTGTGCATAGAATAATGCCGGTGCAGGTAAAGCTCGTCCCGGGCCGGCCTCCGCTCCTCTAATGAGACCCCATACCTTCTGGCTCTCAGCGTGCACCGGCCAGCCCAGCTCAGCCTCACTCCGCCCAGGGACCTCTGCAAACCAGAGAGCAGCAGAGCAGGAGGAGGGGCCCGGCTTAAACCCTCTCACATCATTTGCATGTGAAGAATCGGGATCCTCCGTGGAGAGTCGGTCCGAAGGGAGTATAAAAAAAAGAGCTCCAAAAATGAAATAATCCACTCAAGAATTGCCGTCCTTTTGAAGGCGTCATGTTTTGTGTGCGTGGCAGGTGAAGTCATAAGAGAGACAGGAATAAGTATAGAAGAGTTTTGTTGAATGGGATCCAGTGGCAGGTCCTAGCGGTGGAGTGGTTAGCCCCAGAGTGTGCTGCTCCAAAAGCGTCTGTGATGAGACTGCATGGCTAATGAACCACGGCGCTCCTCTCCGGCTCCACCGAGAGCCCAGCCTTTTCTTATTCCCATTCATCATTAATTCAACAACGCTGATAATTTCATTAGGTTTTTTTTTGCGCGCATTTTCATGGGCCTTTATCAATAAATGATGGGCAATGGACCGAGGGCTGCCCCTGCTTAGCTAAACACACTCACGCACTGGCTGTTTCCTGCGCTCAGACAGGCTGATGTGGAGGGAGACTGGATAGGAGAAGACAGGGATATGATTAGATTAATAGCCCCATTTCAGACCAAATGAAGACATTGCATTTGGATTTTTTTCATTGCACTAAAAAACATAAAAAGACACGTCCCCATGAACCTGTTTATCTTGCCATGAATCTTACAGTATAGCATGCCATTCACGCACATCTGCAGAGGCTTTCAAAATTACTTGAACTTCTGAACATGTCATATTTACAGCTACAAACATACACATACAGTGTCTTGCAAAAGTAACTTGAAGTTTCTCATATTGTGTCACGACCTCATACAAAAACATAGATATTTTATATCAGACCACAACATGTAACTGTTTTTACTCCCATTATTACTCGAAAACCTGATTTACTAACATGGCATGGATGTACTTTGGTACAAGGCAATGGAGAGACTTGTTCACAAGCAGAGCTTCTTTAAAGTCTATTCTCAGAGCCACAGGGAGTGGACTAATGTGATCATACTTCCTGGTTCTAGTCAGTATTCAGGCTGTAGCATTTTGAATGTACAACATATTTGGACAGACCTGTGAGCAGGCCATTGCAGAAGTCTAACCTACTGGAGAAAAATGCATGGATAAGAATGTCCAGTTCTGCTTTGGACACAATATTTTTTAATTTTGGAAATATTTTTGGTAATTTCTGCTGATGCTATTGATCCTATGTGGTTATTGAAGTTTAAGTCTGAATCCATTATTAACCCCAGATTTATGACCTTATCTAGAGGTTTGGGGGAGCGATATTGAAGGTGATAAAAGATGCTCCCTTTCTGGGGACCAAAGACAATCATTTAAGTTTTTTTCTGAATTTAGCTGGACAGTTATTGTGCATCCACTCACTGATCTGCTGGATGCAGTGAAGGAGTGAGTCCACTGGTCCATGTTCTCCTGCAGTCAGTGAGACATAGATCTGAGTGTCGTCAGCGTAATTGTAGTGGGACACATTGTTTCTGCGTGTTAACTGACATAATGGTAGCATGTAGACATTGAACAGAAGAGGCCCCAGGTTTGACCCCTGTGGCACTTCGCAGGTCAGGGCCAAATTATCTGAGACACAGTCTCCAATCTCCACAAAGTACTTCCGTTCGTCTATCTTAGGGCGGTGCCAGCAACACCAACCCAGTCCTCTGTCTCTGCATGAGACTCTCATGGTCGACAGTGTCAACCACGGCACTCAGGTCTAACAAGACTAAAACAGAGACTTTTTCTGTGTCATTGTTAAGTCGAATGTTGATACCTTCACTGAAGTTTGAAGTTTGATTTATTAAGGACAATGTGCAGTTACAGTAAAAAGATGGCTGCACCAGATTTAGCACCATGTTACTTTCCACCTGTAGTCCTTGACAATACAATATATAACTCATATAAAAAAACTAACTATAAGAAAATGGCACATTACTAAAATACATAAAAACATACAGTTCAAAATTAAATAGATTAATCTCCTTGGTCTCATCTGAGTCAGATGAGACAAAAATGTGTTTGCCTCAAATAAAAAAACGTTATACCACAAAACTAACACTAGTCATCACCCTCAGAGTATCATCTCCAGTGTCAAATATGGATTTGATGGTGTTATATATGGAGCCAAATACAGAGCAAGTTACAATAACCTAACCTAGCAGAAATTCCAGTTAATACCGTATGTCTACTTGTCTTGGCAATTAGAAAACACCATATGCAACACTATTAAAAAAAAGCCTAAATCCCCCAAATCTTGACATTAACTATTCATGAAGCAAATACAGGAACACTAAAAACAAGAAAGGCTAGACATGTTTCCTGCCAGCCGTCCGTTGATCTGACATATGGCAGCCACAGTGACACTCTCAGGTAAATAACCCAAATTTTGTCTTGCCGCTTCTTGGCTCGCGTGCTGACGGATAGGGGCGATGTCTGTCTGCATCATGGCCCCCGCTCTGCTCTCTGAGGGGGCCAATCCAGTGAATACTCATAACCGTGTTTATTTATTAACTCTCAATTAAGTCTGGCTGTCCCTGGGCTTGTGCAGTGTAATTTTGGAACGTCGGGCAAGTTCTTGATGATAAGCGCATTCCCCCTGATCTGCGGCGTTTTTCTGATTAAATATAAGCTTTTCATCTGTGGATACAATGCTATTAATTAAATCATTAGCTGAGTGATTCGCTTCAGAGCGTGGGGAGCAGTGAAAAGAGATAGCTGACTCCAATCAGCGTTGAAATATTCATTACAAAAAAAAGGCATCGCCTAAATTCATTGACAAGGATTTACATGTGTAGAGACCGCCCTGCTTCCTTGGGCGCGGGCACACTCGGGTCTCCTTTTTGATCAGCAACATAAAGGCGTCGAACACACACAAAGTTACAATGAGCCTATTAAGAATGTAGCGTGTTAAACAGAGCCTTAATGAAATATGACCGTGCTGGTTAAGAGCTGGCTCCAGGGGGAGTAGCGGCTCTAAATGAACTGGGTACAGAATTAGCCTTTTTTTTTTTTTTTTTTTTGGGTCCCGCTTGGATTTAAGAGCAAACATGACGCAAAGTCCGTATTTTATCAGCCTTCATTAGTGTGCTGCTTTTAACGAATGGGGGAAATGGAGAAATTTACAAACAGATGTAAGTTCTGCTAAACTGTTGTCCAGCTGTTCTTATGTTGTGTGTTTGGAATCAGTGAGATGTTTTTAGTGGTAGTCATAGTAGAAATAGTATACATTTTATATATGTACATCTGTATGATTAGACTGATACTATTGTTATAAAATAGTGGTCAGATTGGGCATTTGAGCTGTTGTCTTTTTTTCACTGCCTACTCTTGTGTATGTAAAAAACTTGAAATGTGCTATAAATGTAAAATTGATTTGGATATAGAAGTGGAAGTAGTCATTTTTTCTTTCAAATGTATGCACAAAAGACAAGACCCAGCCAAAATGTTTTAACACCGCTCATCAGTAATTTCCTGTTTAAAGCCAGGGTACCTAAGCCTTCATCTTGATAGAAACTCATTTTCTAAGATTTTCAGACTTATTTCTTAGCAAGAGCCCTGTGAGTCACTATTTGAGGCTTTGGGCTGAGAGGTGAATGGTTGAGTTTGTGTGAATCAATCTTTTTTTTTTTTTACTGAAAAATCTGATGTAAAGATGGGATCCAAAGTCTTCCCACTATAAGCAAACTGTTCACTGAGCGAGGAGCGACAGATTTTATTACGCGGTTCAGGTTTTTTTGGTCTGAGAGATTGGTACCACAGCTTTAGGTGACTGACGAGTGTACACATGTTTGGTGGTTTCACCTCTCTATAAAACAATGCATTTTTGCCCTAAGCGAACCAGACTTAGCCCAATTAACGTAAATGTACAACTGTGACGATGCAATTCTCAGATTGCATCGCTTCGCACCTTAGTTCCCTCATAACGCAAACATTGAACTTGCTGTGCTTGGCTTCATCACATCTCTGTCTGGATTGTCATTCTGCCAGGCTAACCCTGAGCAGCAGACAATATATGAGGACCACAGAGAGAGTGTTTGCGCTGGAGAAGGCTGTAGTGATAGCAGTAGACAGCTCCTCTCCCCGTGAGCTGTGTAAAAGTCTTCTTACAGGCAAGACACCTCGCTCACCCCACACTGACATGAGAGCCAGCTCCGCACAGGAAGAGAAATGGACAGCCAGAGCAGGAAGGGCACACGCCCAGGCCCGGCAAACATTGGCAATGAGGAAAAGAGATAAAGAATTCAATAGAGGCTTGTCTTTCACTGGAGTGTTGGAGGTTGAGCTGGGGGTAGTGGGAAAGAGGGGGTCAGAGCTGCCACCCAGGGAGCACAAGGACCAGGGGCACAGAGTCTATACATATATTCAGGACACACAATTCTTCACAATCTACTCTAAACCACAATGTTAGTCAAAGGCTAGTTACCCCAGCCCTGAATAGGGTCAATAATCTAATATTTATTTGCAGCATAATCACATACACTCCAAAACAGAGTTGTGGCCAATCTAGACCAACTAAATCGGTTAAGAACTAAAACACTGTTGATGGGTTTCCAACATATATTTTGGTTAAAACAGCCTATCTATGATTCTGTCTTTCGCACACTTTACAGCAGGGGTGTCCAAACCCGTCCAGAAATGGCTTTCTATTACATCAAGAACCGGAGCAGAGCAGACTCCAGCCACTCCGCTTTGGTCTGATATAAAACCTGCAGCCACAGCGGCCCTTGAGGACAGGTTTGTGTACCTCTGCTTTGCAGCAATCTCATTGCTACTCCCCAGTATATTGATAATAATCCTAACCCTTACCCATGACAATCTAATTGTTTTGGCCAAACCCAAACGATTTTTCACTTTCTGACCAATATATTGGTAAATCTAACCAATATTGACTTAACCAATTAGGTAGATTCGTTTTTCCATCCAGTGTGTTTTAAGAATGCATCACTGTACCCTCTGCCAGCACAAACAAGCTTTTCGTTTATTGTTTTCCCGCAGTTGTCAACAGGTGGTGTAACTATACAAACACAAGGATGTGATAGTTGAAACTGCAATACAACAACCTATTTTGACATATAATTTCCCCAGTGCGTGAAGTCAATGTGCTCAATGTGGTATGGTACGTTACAATTCCACCAACTCTGACAACACTGGAACAGTGCTACTACCCTGGAAGCTAAAGGCCAGACATGCAACGCATACTGTACACACAGGAATGACAGCAAATATGTCTATAGTATGTTCAGCTGACGGAAAATTCACCTGGATATATCATGCTAGGGCTATTTCTGTTGTGAAATAAATAGTGCTGCTTACATAAAGTAACAGATAATACACATGTGCAAAACGTCAGGACTTTCGACCAATATTCCTGCGTTGTCCATTCATTTCATACTGAGCGACAAGTGAAATTGACCCTTGTAGTATCTTACACATCTACAAGTGAAATTGACCCTTGTAGTATCTTACACATCTTGCCGGAGCAAGCTCAATAAACAGCCTGTTGTTTACATATGGGTCAGGTGAAGAAGATCGTTTTTTCCTTTATGAAGGAATCCTTGTAAGTAATGTGTTTAAAAGTTTCTATTTGTTAAAAAAACCATTTGAAAGCAATTTATTTTGGAATTAATTTGAAGTCTTTATCTATCTTCCTGTGGTAAAACAGGTCCAAAAAACTGGTCAAACTATAGTACATGTCGAGATGGGATTTGCGGAATGAGAGCACATTTCTTCATTCATGGTTCTACTGTGAAGGGCTTCGAGGAGCACACGGACTGGCCTCCTGCTGGTGCCCAGAGTCAGGGCTAAAGAGGAGGAGGCTAGTATTTTAGACTTATGCTTACAAAATCTGGAACAGTCTTCCTGAAAATGTGAGACAGGCTTCTACTCTGACAGCATTCTGTTTAGCTGTGGATACAACTACAGGATCACATTTTTGATGCTCTGAGATTGTTTGTGATTTTAATGTCCTACGTGAATTTAAAGTTTATTTTTGAGTTGATTGGTGTATGAACTGTGCTATACAGATAACCTTGCCGTATGCATGTTTGGAGGAGCTTGAGTTGAGCCAACAAATGGAGCATCAGGTCTTGACTTGAATGTTATCTAACAGTAATATATGACTACATTATTTCCTACATGTTTTATTGCTAATTGCAATTGCAGGATTCACCCGTGAGAGATTGCGTTACATTAATAATTCATTTGTTTTCTTTCTCGCTTGCTTGATTATATACTTACACACTTAATTACTGCCATATGATACCTTTTTTCAGATCAATCTAATCTGCTTAATTCAGTTGAATATATTTTTATCAAAATAATGACAAATGAGGAATTAATGTGACATACCAGCATGGCAGGGTTTGAGACTGCCAAAAAGAGAAATCATTTCAACAATATATGTTGTAATAATACTAGTCCCAGTTCTGTATATGATTGCATGAAACATTTTGAAAAGAGGCAAATCAGATATTCCATTTCTGAATTTGATTGATGTAATTTTTAATTTGCACAACAGTAGTCTGGAGACTGAAGTTACATATTAAACTACAACAAAAGTGCTTTAGAGAATAATTCACATTATTTGGACACAAATGAACCAAAATAAGAATAAAAGAAAGTATGAAAATCAAACGCTTCCCAAAAATAATTAAACTGGATAAAATCATTACTCAATAGAGGCAACTTTTTGGGACTTTTGAAGGTTTTAAGCTAACCAGAAACAGAAAAGGGATTGCCAAAGGAACCAAACCTAACAACATGTCTGTTTGAACAAGGAAGCCGAAAAGTGCTAGTCTTACTCAGCTACCACCTTTATCACTGGCAGAAATGAAGCTGAAGCGCAAATTCAGACTGAAAGACCGGACACAGCTCTCACGCGTCCAGGGCCTGCCAATCACACAGCCCGGCCAGCCTTTTGCCAACCCACTGACTGCAGAGGGGGCAGTTTAAAAGCAGCCACCTCCTGATTAACAGCGCTTACTGAGGCTCTTAACACCCACCGCCTCCCTAGCACCTCCTCAAGCTACTGGTTCCTGCTCTGGTTCCTGCTCTAGCTCTTGCCCTGGCTCCCGATCGGGTTCCTGCTCTGGCTGCTCTGCAAGTGTCACTGCCGGGGTCAATGCGCCTAACAAACAAATCTTTTTCATGCATTTGTGTTTCTGTCTTGGTCTCTTCAGATTGAATGGGTCACATTTATAAAAGTTGAGCCGATGATTGGTTATCATAGGTGTTTATATTTGTCCTGTGAAAATATTCAAGTCATGTGTCTTTTGCACTTCTTTACATCTCTTGTGCATGGTTCTTTCTGGGTGCGTGAAGTCAATTGAGCTATTTAAAGTGCACTCCAAGTTCAAGTGGAAATAGGAGTCCTCAAGACAAATGTAGGAAGTGCAGGATGATTAAAAAAATAAGGAACTGATTTCATAACACACTTGTTTACTCCACTGACTGGATTGCTGTTCAGAAACTTTTCATTTGTAACATTTGTAAGACCCGAGAACTTATGACACAGCTGGAGTTTTCCTTCGCTTCACCTTATTGAAAAATTGCAAAATGAAATATTTTTAATCATTTTGAAAAACACTGCATAGAGTTAGGTTCCGTACAGAGGACAGTATTAATTTCAAGCTGCGCCATAGATTGGCTGATGTTTCATATAGGATCCAGCCCCATAGCTCTGGCATAAGATACCATCATTTATTTGTAATGCAGCTATTAAAAAGCATGCAACATTCACCTCCATAACTCCACACTTGGTACTGTGTAAGGTGAAGCCAATGAGCACGCACACAAGAGCAGATGAGGTGGAGGCGTGTGGTTGGAGCATCTGCCAGTGCACCACCCATAGGGGAGAGTGGCTGGCCTCTTCAAACACACTGCGTGGGACCTCCTGCTTTTGAAGCTCCAGGAGAGGGACGGGGGGACAGGACAGGGGGATGGAGACACCCGCGGCTGGGACCCTCCACCAGATGGAGAGGAACACACAAGCAGCAATGATCAGAAGCAATGCTGTGCTCTATTACCCACATCCCAAGGAAAGTAGTGGACACAATTGCTGGTAGAAGCTGATGAATAGATAAATGGTGATCACAAGGATAAGAAAGTGTTCCTTATGTCCCATATTTTTCCATACCACATAGTGTCAAATGTACAAATGTTTGATGAACCCTTTTGTCATGTGTTAGTGACAATTTCATACTGCAGACTAGTGTTTTTTTTAAACTCTGTAAGAAAGTTTGGCGTGTTGTTTGGATACGTTTTGGCTTTTTATAACGGAAAGTACAAGAGCATGTTAAAAAAAGGTCAAAACAAAATCTCGACTTTTTCTATATATATATATATATAAATATACATATACAGTATATATATATATATATTTATTACACTGCTCCTCAGAGCAGCAGTAGAACGCTCCATTGATATGAATGTAATTTCAAAACGTTCTACCGGTCATTATTTTTATAACGGACCTCTCAAAACAATAATGACCGCTGCCCTTTGGCAACGCACTCTCTGCTTGTATTTCAAATGCGTGGATAACTCCGCAAGTAGTTCCGGCCACTCCGGAGCTAGCCACGCTCAATCAACGCAATGAAATGTTAATCGGAGAGTAATTTATACATATACAGTCTTAATACAAGTGCACGGAAGTTTTCAGAATTTTCCGTTTACGTTTTCATGACAAAAACACTGATGTAATGCGAGAAAAGGCGATCCCAAAAAACCCGGAAGTAGATACCGGCACATTTTAAGATTCCGGGACATTTTCGGACACATTTGCAGAGGATCGAATTATGGATTTAGGTTATGGTTTATGTATGGGTCACTCACCGCTGATGTTCAGAATTCTTTGTTCAGTTTTTTCAGTTTTCATGCAGTTCCAGAGAGTTCTAGTTTGGAAGTTGCTAGCCTAACTGTTACTCGCATAGCCACGGGAAAGCCTTTGGGAACTATTTTATTTTCTGTCATTAAATAAACCTTTTGGCATTCCTAAGAGTGGACTGACGTTTATTGTGTGTGTTCTGTTGGTATAAAGCCGTATAATAAGCGGGATAACGTATATTACGCAGGTCATTATCGGAAAATAAGTACCGACAGGGCGAAGCGGACCCCGACGCGCAGCGTCAGGATTTAAGCATCAAATGAAGCCTCACTATGTTTGCTACAAACTCTGGGAACCATCAATGATTATTATTCCGTTCATACACTAGAATTCTAGTTCAGTTGGATGTCAAGTGCCAATACAACTCTAGGTCATCAAGGTCAACAAGGTCATAGTTTTTTCAACTTCTCTCCACCACAATGTTAAACTATAGGCTCTTTGAAATGTTGTGATGTCACATGAACACCACCAATAGACCAGCAGAGGGGGTCGACTTGGCTCATATAGAAAACTAACGGACCTGACAAACATTTTGGACCTCAGCCATTCAACCTTTTATTAACCATCACAATAATTTAAGAATCAATTATGAGAGGAAGAGAGCTAGCCATAAATAGACACAAGAAAACGTTACATTAAGAAATAAAAACAGTAGACTGTTTGATGATGGCCGTAAGGAAAAATAATACCCATTTTCTTCTTGTTTTTACAACAACTATGAATTCTCATAAACTACTATTACTACCATACATCTTCCACAATGCTTCTGGCGTCTGCAAAGGCCCATGCTACACACGATCTTCACAAAACAATAAGGCTCTTTACTCCTTGTTATCGGCAGACCTCACACTTCCACGTTTGAGCTATCTCACGGCCATGTTTAGGGCTAGTGTTGCAGTCCGCTCTGAAATAACTACTTGAAATCTCTGTTTTCCACTCACCTGAGCCGGTCGGAACTACGCGCTTTTCTTCGTGGAGGATTGGGAGATCAAAAATGACTGCTCAAAGAGGAACTTTTTGGTGCTGTAATTGACAGGAAGTGTGAGCAGCATAAATAAATGACTACACTAGGATTTTGTGTGCTTTCGTCTCAGCATCTGGAATCAAACATAACTGGCTCTCTGCCGATAAAAGGCATGACAGAGAAATTACAGCTACAATCAGTTAGGCCCAGCTACAAGAGGAAAATCTGTTTCTAAACGCTCTCCCATGGCCAGAGTTTGATTGATGGGTGGAGGTGAGGGGAAAGCTATGGAGACCTGCAGTCAAAAATGGACAATGGAAGTCTCACCTGCCCGCGTCATGCTGAAAAAACATCTTACATCGTGTGATCTTCAAAAATGCCGGACGGAGGAGCAGAAGAGTTCAGAAGTGCGAATGAATAATGGACGAGATGGAGGCTTTTTGATAACAGGGCGGACATGGGCATAATTAGGAATGATAAAATGATTACTTTTCACAAGGGAAATAATGGAGTGTCTGCGTATTAAAAGAAGTAGCTAGAAAGAGATGTCTGTAAATGGATTTAATATATTTGTACTATTTTCATGGAAAAAGATCCAACTCTCCAACAGTTTTCAGATTTTCATTATGAAGTTTTAAAACAAAACAAGACCAGCTAAATTTCATTTAACAAACTGGCAGACCGAATAAGGGTCTTGTTGCTCTGATTGGATGATCTGCTTGAAGATCGTAAACATTCATATTATGTTCATTGTGGTCCAATATATTTTTGATAATAACTCACTAATAACATGAGGAAACACATTTGAAACATTACATATTGTCCCTTTAACTGGGGTACCTAACTTTTTGGATGCTGGTCAGCTGGTATGTTGGCAATGATAGTCCAACCTGATTTTTTTATCCTTGTATCTAAAGTAAGCAACTAAATAAATCAAATTTCCCTCATTGATTTGTTCTGAAATAAACCAATTTGATAATGAGGGCCAAAAATCAATGTTGTGAAAATGAGGACAGCAAAAAAACATTATTACAAGATCTTCATTGATACAATGGTATATCAGAATCAGAATTATTTATATTGCCATTGTAAAGTAACAGGAAGTTACAACTAAAAGTAACAGCCCCGCCTGCATACATTTTCAGCAGGCAGTTTGACCAGAATTATGAGGATGACGTCAGGTTAGTGCAAACCAGTGGGGCGGGCCCTGGCTTAAAAAGGTCCATGAGCATGCACTTTGACATGATGGCAATCTGGCTCCTTGCCAGGTGGCGTACCCAGAAACATAATTTATTTATTATTTATTTATTTATTATTATTTGTTCACAAACATAAGTTGAATCCACATCTTTTACATAAACATTTAGGTTTGTGAAGGGACTCCCATGAAGCACAATTGGCTTATATGCGATTAATTATCCGATGCATTCTTATGACACCTTTTTTCAACTCAAAATTGGCTTTACAGCCTGGTCCAAAAGTCGGCTTTTGGCTCAACGCTAAGTTCCAAATATTTTCTACAGTCTAAGGTGCAAACAAGTAAAAAAAAAAGAGAAAAAGTATAAATATAAAAAGGCATGCAAAAAATATGAATGAAATTCATATATTACACACAATAGACATTGAACAGTGCCAATTATAAGTGACGAGAAGCATGTCATTATAATTAGATTGCACATGCACAGTCATATTTAAAACTTTAGAAACATCTTAAAATCAGTGGAATATTCAAACAATTTGACATGTGACAAGCCTTTCCATTTTTTCTACAAACATTACAAACAAATTCCCACAGAGCACAGTTATTCGCAAACCCTGAGTATATCACAACTTAATCAAAATAAAATGCGCTTTTCTGTGTGTCCGCAGCATGTACCGCACTGTGAATGACCCATCTGCAACAGCGTCCACCATGAGGGATGGACACCGCGAGGCACACATGAATCACGCGCCTTCAACATTTAATATAGTGACGGCGCAATCGAGTCCCGCGCAGACATGGGTGGAGGGGGAGCTGACGCGTAATGGGCTCTCTATTGAATCAGGTGTCTCGTCCTCTTAAGGAAATTAAGTTGCGGTCTGAGAGAGGCCACTTAATGACGGCGGCACGGTGGACAGTGACGAATGGCGCGCGGCACTGGGAGCCCACGCTATATCTGCATTTGTCCGACTTACAATTTTTCATCTGCAGACCCCCCCTCTTTGTGTAAGCCATAAACACACACACACACACACTGCCCTCCCAGTGTAGTAATAGCTATTTATTTGCACATATATCCGATGGCAGCTAATAAAGAGCCATATCTTTGCACCATGTGTTTCCACATTGCGCCGTGTCCGAGGAGCGGTCATTAGACGGCCATGATGGATGCGTCGCCGTGGTACCGGGACAAAGCTCAGCGTGATCTCTGCAATGAACACAAAGGTTTTGCCAGAATTACATAGATGTATTTTTTTATAAAGCATGCTGTAAAATCTTACTATCAAGTTTTATTGGTTCAGTTGTGGCTGGTAAGGATTCTGGAATCAAATATTTATGTACAAGTAGTAATAATAATTGTAGGCAGTAAGTATGTGACGTAACAGCGACACAGGTGCACTATGGGATGGTCCTATACAGATCTGAGGACCAGAAATGTTGATTTGTTTGGCCAAAGATTGTAATTATCTGTAAAATAAATGTGTTTTCTATTTTGCAATTCTAATGATGACAGAAACTATTCTGCTGAACCTGATTAGAAGTCTCCACCCCCTAATAGTGAGTCTTTTGTGGTACTTATGGTGGAGTAAGTAAGTATGTAATCTTTATTTATATAACGCATTTCACAGACCAAAGTCCTTGCACAGTACAATTTTTGTGTTCTGTCGAGTTGGTCTGCCTGTTAATGATGTGATGCAAACAAGCGCTGCACGTCTCAAGGCAGCCAAAGCAAACCAAGATGGCGGACATGTAGTCCACGAATTGCTTTAAAAGTTAAATACGAACGAATTAAGACACGAATGTCACTTTTAATGCAATTTGAGGCGAGATGTTGAAGGTTCCGTGTTGTGATATGTCGGTTTTAAGAGTGAGAGTTTCATGTAAAGTTTGTTTTAAGCAGTCCACTGATCCTGTGAAACTACACTGCTAGTGTGCCCAAATCTGACTTGCGCATGCGCAGCAACCCGCCAGAATGGGGGAAAAAACTCGATCTAATTAAATATTTTGTTTGAACACACTATTGTTAATCATATTGAATACAGTATGATACATGCATAAAATGTATTATTTCCATTATCAACCCGACAGACCAGTCACAGGACGCGTATGCGATCACACAGCAGCAGTGTAGTTTCACAGGAGCAGTGGACTGCTTAAAACAAACTTTACATGAAACTCTCACTCTTAAAACCCATATATATACATATAACAACGCGGAACCATCAACATCTCGCCTCAAATTGCATTAAAAGTGACATTCGTGTCTTAATTCGTTTGTATTTAACTTTTAAAGCAATTTGCGGACTACATGTCCGCCATCTTGGATTGCTTCGGCTGCCGTGAGACGCACATGCGCTGGTTTGCATTACATCATTAACAGCTGAGCCAGACCAACTCGACAGAACACCGGTAATTCAGATTCAGATTCATTTATTTGCCATTTGCAGTAAAACCACATTGGAAAAACTGTGCAAGACTACCCCAGTGTGCACCAGACGACACACACCAGAGCTCTTCACACACAGATGACAGAGATTCCTGACACACTGGTGCATGGAGGCCTCTGACCAAAACCATCCATTCATTCACTCATGCATTCATACCCATTGTACATGTTTTTAAGTGGTTGGGGAAACCGGAGCACCTGGAGAAAACCTTCACAAATATGAATGGTAAATGTAACCCTACCAACTGAGCTACTGCTGTCCAATAAAATGAGATATGTCCTCTCTGATGAAAAAGCTTCACTTTATTTTGCAATTCTTGTAATTTCCCAGGCTGGCTTGCATGAACTGCAAATTTGAGATCCACCCAGAGCGGGTACAAAAAAAGAAAACCCATTTATTTGACAATGAAGGGCATCACATAACCACTAATAATACTTTTTGTGTTGTCATTCAACAGCTCCAAAATATGGTCAAAACAATGACAACTATGGAAATTTAAATCTTCAATCAAAACTATTTGCTTTTTTTAGCCAATAAGGAAATCCAAAATATGTCTTTCTGTTGTTCACCAATCTACTGATGTTACAACCCATAAAGAGGTCATTTATAGAATTCATGCTGCAATATTAAAGTGACTGTCAGTTAATAACCACAGTTGAAGAGATTGCACCTTACCCTCATAGCTGCGGCAGCTCAATAAAAACAAGATTTGTCCTCTATGATGAAAACGCTGCACTTTATTTCAAAATTCTTGTAAATTCCTGGGCTGCCTCGCATAAACTGCACTTTTGAGATCTGACAATAAAGGGAATCACACAACCATTAATGATAAGTTTTGTGTTGTCATTCAACATCTCCAAATTAGGGGAGAAAAAAAATGACATATGTAGCTCGCGAAAATTCAATTTGGTAGACGTCAGCAAAAGCTACCCCCTCCAGGCCGGTTCGCTTCCCCAGCCTATCGCTCGGCAAACGCCCCCTTCCAATCATCCGTGCCGGACAGGCAGCCGCTTAAAAGCGGAGCAACTCTCACTTTCTGCCTTCTCGAAGCCTCGCAAGCTCCTGAAGCCTTGCAGAGAATCGTCTGGAGGAATCGTTTTCGTCTACTCACGCTACTCGTGCGCGTCCCTGGCGTCCTCCGTCTGGCTGCTTGTGGTCTGCTCCTCCTTCGCGTCCCTGCACTGGTCTGCTCCTCTTCCACGTCCCTGCACCTGCTGTGGTTCGCATGTCTTCACTGCTCTCCTCCTCTGCGGGCTCTTTCTGCGGGCTGCTCCGCGGGGCCCTCCGCGGGTTTCTGTGCGGCTCGTTCCTCGTGGTCTGCTGCCGCACGCAGAAGGTCTGGCGGTGCCGTGCGTGTCCCTGCCTCGATTGGCGGTGCCGCGTTGTCCCGTTGCTTTTCCCGAGTCTCCTGGCATGTGAGTACAGTGAGTGTGCTGACCGCGGACAGATTAATCCCGGAGTCTAGGCTGCAAGCGACTGGTTTTTGCCCTACGCACTTGACTGCAGGCGCCGGTTTTTTTTCGCCCCGAGCTTGGTCTGCAGGCTCCGTTTTCACACGTGTCTGAGCTAACCGAGGGGCAATGCATATTAAATGGCATCAATCTCTATCGTCTGAGGGATATACGAGGAGCTATGTGCATTAATTCAGATCATGTTCTGCCACTTGCAGTAAAACCATGCATTAAATAGCTA